AGGGAATCTGTTATTGAAATGATACCTCCATGAACTAATAGTCTACTCAATTCAGCATGTAACGCCCAAATCTCTTTGAGAGCCCCGAGCAGAAACTGAATGTGGAGCATTAACTTCGCTAACGCTAGCTAGCTAAGTTAGCGTTGAAAGAAAAGCAAGTAAACAGAGGATAACAACAAACCATGTGGCTAACGCTGCTACAGTCAGCTCACTCACCGTCTAATCCTTCCTTTCAGCTCCTGATCGGCTCACAGGCAGCAGTGTGTGGTTAGCTGGGTGCTAACCTCCGCCTCCTCCTCCTCCTCCTCCTCTGAACCCGCCGCTGCTGTAAACTGTCAGCCCGGAGGAGTCCCGCTGTTAGCGGACACTGCTCGGCTAGCGTTAGCTGGTCGCCTTCATGGTGAGGAGGGGGAGGAGGAGACCTCCCGGATCCTCCCGGCCGACCAGAATCAAGTCTTCCGCGATTCTGGGGTGTAAATGCGGGTCCGTGAGTGAGCTGCGAAACGGTCGGTCGAGTCTGCAGAGGCTCATGGAGACTGGCTCGGTCAGTTTACTCTCTGCTTGTTCAGGCAAGTGACACTAGTGACGTCACGCCGTATCATAAACAGTCCCAGCCCACCAACACATTAAAGAGTCATTCTTTACAGCAGTGCACAGTGGGTTTTAAATCAAACAGTCCACATGTGACTAAAGTGCAGACCAAATGCTGTTTCCTCTCATCAAATGCTTGTTTGTGGATCTCTCTGCCTTCGGGTTTGTCTTCAGCAAATGAAAAGCATGCTCTGTTTGCATAAAGAACATGAGATCAGTACTTGACCACTGAAGAATATCTTTTTTGTTGCTTTTGCAGTTTGCTTTGGGTCATTATCCATTTGCACTGGATCGTGTTTGCCACCTTTGACCCCCCCGAACTCAGGAGGCTCTTTTAGGTGTTTTCTTGTAAAGTCTAATTTTGTCTCAGGTACATTAATGTATCTCTTGATTGTAGACTTTGACGCGATATGTTTTTCGTAACCAAGGAAAGAATTCAGCAATCACCCACCTTAGATGTCTCCTTTCGTTATTGTTGAACTGGCCAGTACTCAGCAATAACAATAATCCTCCTTTTCTAAGAATATAGTGGACTGTAGATTTAGGCACATCTAAAGTTTTTAGGTTTTTTTGGTATTCAACTTAATGGTGGCTGATGAGAATTCCAGTGAACAGCTACTAAGTTCAACAACACAACATGGAATCAACTCCAGATCTTGTATCTGCTTATTTTTCATGAAATAATGAGGTAACAGGTCTCACCTGGCCATGAAACTGCTTGTCAGTAAATTGTCTAATCTCTAAATTATTCTTTTAAGTGTTTTTATTAGAGAAATGCAATTATCTGACAACAGATCGACCTGTTCTGCACCACAAACTTGAGCAAAGGGGGCACATATTTATCGTTCTTCTGTTTGCTTTTGACCAAGTTATTCCAAAAAGATCAAAAAGAACAGACAAATGCTCAAAAACATATAATCTCATTAGTTATTACATCACTTTATTTAAAATTTGAGTACATTATCAGACAACAGAGAAGTCATTTGCAGAGCAATTTGCTAATTACAAGCTAATTAAAGTTACTGTTTAAAATGCAGATATATTAAACAAAGTTTCAATCTATATATCTACAATCATTTTCTCTTATTCTCTTACCCAGTCTGCACATAAATGGAGATTTATGTAAGTATAGACAGGTGTTGGTGTGGATGCGGAAGTGTGTTTACCAGATATTTTCTTGCTTCAGGTATTTTTCACCTCTGTATGTGTGTATATGTTTGTGTGTTTGACCTTTCAACACTTTTTTCTAAACTATTTTAGGTGCTAGTGGTATCAGAAAAGAAGGAAAAGTGCATAAATAACACGTTTAATTCTGTATGTAAAATAAAGCTTTTGTGTCACTCTTACATAACTGGAAGCACTGATGTTCACATACTTAATATTTAAACCACTTAAAGCAAACTTTTGTTGCAGAAGCTAAAATATAAACAACAACAATATTTTTCTGCCATTTGACAAACAAAATTATTTTTTCCTTTGAGTAAATTAAACCCCACTTATTTTTTTTTATTGCAGTTGTAGAGGAAGACTAAAACCTAGAAAATTCTAATATGTATGGATAATAAGACAGTCATGTAAGTACCTGCCTTTGTATTATGAGAAAAAGATTGTCATCCATCCATCCATCCATCCGTCTTTTGCCACTTATCTGAGTTTGGATCGTGGGGGAGCAGCTTACGCAGAGAAGCCCAGACCTCCCTCTACCCAGGCACCTCCTCCGCCTTATTTATGGCGACAGCACGATGTGTCCAAGCCAGCTGAGCGATATAATCTCTCCAGCGTGTGCTGGGTCTGCCCTCACCCAGGAAGCATCGTAGTCAGATGCTTGAATCACTTCAGCTGGCTCCTTTCAGTGCTGAGGGGTAGCGGCTCTAATCTAAGACACTCATAAATAACTGAGCTCCTCACCCTATTTCTAAGTTAGAGGAATTTCCATTACTTGTATCCGAGATTACATCATTGTATTCACTACCTTGAGCTTGTGACCATAGGTAAGGTTGGTAACTGGTAAATGGACAGCTTTATTTTCATGCTTTCTTCACCACAACAGACCGGTACAGTGTCCACACTGCAGATGCAACACTGATCTATTTATCAGTCTCCTGTTCATTTCACTTGTGAACAAGACCCCGAGATACTTAAACTCTTTCACTTGGCACAACAACTCATCTCTCACCCAGAATGAGCACTCCACCCAGGCTCAGAGGAGATCATTTTCATTCTCATTGCTTCAAACTCAGCTGCGAACCACCCCAGTGCGAGCTGGAGGTCGTCACCTGATGAAGCCAACGGAACCACAGCATCCATAAAAAACAGATATGAGATGGTAAATAGACTGATTCTTATACAGCACTTTTCTACTCTGCTTGAGCACTCAAAGCACTTAAGATCGAGCGGCCACAAAACTGGAGACTTCCCAATGCTTGCCTACACACAGAAATCCATAAAAATTAGGAATCCCAGACAGAGGACAGAACTGGCTGTCAAACTGCGATCAGGACTAAATCCAACATACCGTATTATTGGCGATATGGACCAAGCTCTCACTGTGTTGCAAAAGAACTGAACAGCCTCTAACAACAAGCACGATAACTCACACCCGAATGGATCGATAGATGGATTTCTCACATGCTCAGTGTTTCTTCCTGTCTTGTGGATTGTTTTTTATTTTATTTTGATAGTTTGTTTTGGGTTTTACTCATCTGTCTGAATATCCTGATTACTTTCACCTGTGTCTCATTCTCCTGTTTTAGTACCATTTCGTTAGAGTAACACAAAACCAGTTAGCCCCAGGCGTATAAATAGTCCTGCCCTTCTCTTCTCTTCTCTTCTCTTCTCATTTTTTTAAGTAACCAATATTTGACAACAGCATAATAAAACTGGAAATTCCCAATATTTTTAGTGGCCACCCCTATGGAAAAAATTCTGAAGGTGGCCCTACTCTTCACTTCATTGATTTTCCCCTTTAGTTCTCTGTGTATTTGCTCTTTTGGATTTTGTTATCTGTTATCGAATCTGATGCTTTTCCTCACCTTTATAAATATATTTGTGCAGTTCTTATTTTATAAACTTTCTACTGTTTTAAGATTGTTTTTTGTAAATATTTTGAAGAACTTTGTAACTGTGGTTCTGAAATAAAGTTATTATATGTATGTGAGCTGATATGAGCAGGTAAATCACACTGAGGTGACACTCCCATTAAAAAGTCTTGTCCACATTGGCAAACTTATTGTCTATAAAAGTGGTCTATCACAGTGCTAAAATACACCACAGTATTACAGTAACCCACTTCCACTGCCTACTGAAAGATTTAAAGAAGCCTCAGCTGATCATGAAAAGTTTTGCAACAGTGGCACCTAGAGGACATGATAGGAATCACCTCACAAGCACTAATAAAGAAGACAACTCTGATAACATTTGAGAAAGGACGTTTGAGTCGGTTACACCTGCGACTACCTCTATTCGTGTTTTTTGTTTTCTGCCGGTCGCTCTGGCTTGGTTGACAGATAGGCGAGTGTTGTGGAAGGCACACTGTCTGTCCCGTCACGACTGGGCTATCACCACCACCGTCGCCTCCATGGCTGCAAGAAAACAAGCACAACTTCAACTTAAAGGAGACAGAAACGCATTCACTCGGTGTACATGACTGTAGGATTTTGCAGTGCACATTTTCTAGAGTTTAAAAAGTAGGACTTTAAATATTGAATTCACAGCTGTGCAGCTTGAACTATCTTCTAACATTTGAAGCAGAGAAAAGTGTCTGTGAATGTTTATGAGACCCACTGGAGCTGTTACAGTGTGAGCTGCTAAGATGTGTGCATATTTGTCCATTTAACTCTCTTTAGGTCTGTGTACAGCTGTGCTGCTTTACCTTCTTAACTGTAAAATTACATGACTGAGCAGCGTTTTACAGTCCAGTTAGACTCCTTTGTCTCTGTGGATACAGGCAGAAATACATCTGGTCAGAGCCAAACACAGGAAAGGCTTTACTGCTGTCTTTGCTTGTTTTCGAGGGCAAACTCAAACAGGGATACATTTAGCGTTTGGGGGAGTTCACAAAGTTTTCATGAATGAGTGGCAAGGAGGCCGTTAAGGAGCCAGTGAGTGACCTACTACTTTATTTATTTACTGATAATGAGTTGTATTTGGTCATCTAGGAAGGTTCATCAGCTTTGATGGCCATAACTTTGGTCTTTTTCACCTCTGAGAACCCGGGGTTTTGCCTTCCTGAGGTGATTCTTTTTATTTTTATCTCAGCTTTATCTAAACGTAGTATAACTCCCTGTATTTGTCCAAAGATTGTGTTGTTAGTTTCTTTTTTTCTTTGAGATTTGACTTTTGTTTTTGTTGAATTTTTGGATTCCTGTTTTGATTTTTTGATCTTCGTTCCTTGTAGCTCTGCTTTGGTTCTCGTGTTTCTATCGCCCTCATTCTTTCTGCACGAGCTCCTCTGATCTCTTGTGTTTCCTTTTTTATGCCATCTTGTTTGGTGTTAGTCTCAGTGTTCCTTCCTTTTGGCAGTTTCCTGTTTTACTTTAACAATTTGGTAAGTGTTTTCTTTTGTGTGATGTTTTGGGTTTCACTTCCCAATATTTTATTCTTCATATAGTCACAATTCCTCTTCTTCCCTGATCCTTAAACAGCAGTAAAGTGCAAATATATTAATACACACTACAAACTAAGTTCAAGACCTTTTTATACTAAAAGATAAAACTTGTTTGTTCAACTTGATAGGGAAGTGCTACAGAAATATCACCAGACAGAACTGTAAGTCTACTGAATTCCTCCCCATGTCACTGTGGCTGCACCATACCAACTTATCCTTATTTTTATGTACATATTACATAAATATACAAATATAAATGATGACATAACCATTGATTTCATATATCATCATTTCTGTTTTTGTGTCTTTGCAATTATTATTATTGTACTGTGTGATCAGCCAATATTTACGGTGCTGTGAAAAAGTATTTG